CTCGGTAATTCTCATCATATACTACTTTTTAAGTCGTAATGTAACATTGTTTTTGGTAACTAAACACCGTAAACGACTCTCCTATGGAGACCATTTTCTTGGAAAATGACTTCTGTCTTACCAAACACATTTCCTAAATCTGCATGAACAAGGAGTTCCTAGTTTCACAATCACCGGACCGATCTATACATCTTTGTGCAGGGACCTTTTTGATGCTGGGGAGAAAGAGAGGTGACCTGAAAATTCTTTGGACAAAGGGTGAACCAGAAAGGGTGTGTCCACATGTTCGTCTCGAATCAATCGAGGAATCGAATCGAGAAGGATAAGGATAATCTTCCTCTTGTAATTATATAACTACATACTGACCTAAATGTTATCAATCATTCATCATTCTGGTATTATTTAGCTGTTTTAAGGCTTAGCAAAATCTTCAGTTGTTAAGTACACACACATTTGATATGCCAGTTATTAATGTACAGCTGATTGATCAGCATTTGTCACTTTGGTGAAAAATAGTGCAGTTGCTGCTCAACTTTTATTATTGTCTCATCTGATCTTTTGCACTGTTTGAACTTGACCTCAGTACACTAAGCTTCGGCTAGTCATGGATCGTACTACAAAAGTCTATTGTACGTGATTTTATCCTGCATATTCTCGCTAGAGTTTGTTCCCATTTGTTTGAGTATGACAGAGTGTGAATACATCACTTCACGAGATGATAGATACATGTTTTGTTTTGTATTTATTGATTTGATATAAACGCATATTAGGTTTTTCCCAAATGATCGCTCTCCGTAGGATCGCACTCTAAGGTTTCCGAATGCATTAACTTAAATTGTGATAAATATATATAAATGAATAGTTGAGATGCAAGTAAGTTGAATATTATCGTTATAAAATTATCAACTAATTTTTTTTTAAGGTTATCCTATAGTATATGAATTAAATTATTATAGCATAAAAGCAACTTATATATATATATGGGCGGTGCATATTTCATTTTCTTAAAGTTTACTTCAATAATGAAATAGGACCAAAAATATATGGAATATATTAATAATACCTAACATGATAAGTACCCCATATGAGAATAATATTGCAACAATTATTAGCACGACTTTTTTTTTTTTCTATTTAAAAGAATACCAAAAATATATGAAGTCACAAACTCATTTTTATTTAATATTGATTGAGACATGAATTAATATTATAATACACCTTAAGTGTTGGCAAGTAATTTTTCCATATTATATGCTAATAGTACCTTATCTTCAGCATAATTAATTATATCTCACAAATTAAACATATATGTATTTTCCCATTTCATTTTGCTTTTTTCCTATCAATACTATAAAAATAAAAATAAAACGATAGATAAATTCTAAACTAACAACATCTAATCTAGTATGTAGGTAGATTTATTTTATGTAGATCTCGCTCATATAATATAAACAGATCGTTTATAACAGATACGTGATTTTAGAAAAATATTTTCACAATGAATAAATAGTTTTTATAATAAAATATTTGAAAAAAAAATTTATTTATTACGAAAAATTTAACAATAGATTAATGATGACTTTTTTTTTTAAAAAAAAAGGAATATCAAATTCAAATAAGTCACGTCTTTAGCATTGAAACAATAATTATGGTTTGTATTGTCAATTATTTTTGTTGTTTGAATAAAATTGGACCACAAATTTATGAAAATAAATGGGTCGGTTTGTTTAGGCGGCTATTGCTGACCCATCATATATATAGTAGAAATATTTACTATTATATTTGTGACATTTTTGATGCCACGTGGCTAAATAATATGGTTTGGACGGTTTATTATGTCAAAAAAATTTTTAAAAAAAGTATTCCTCTTTTTCATTTTTTCTTTTGGACAATTATATTAAGAGTTATAGGATTTGTAATTTTGATAGTTGTAACTTTTTTCTTTGTTTAATTTATCTGGTATTTAAAATTCACTAATTCGTTTAATTTGAGTTCGTGCGTAATAGACTTATTAAGCGATCAAAAGCATCAAGTAAATTTTTTTAATTTTAAAACTCAAACTAGAGATTGAGTAAAAAAATAAAAAATATCAAATATTTTATATTTTTTTTTTCCACGATTACCTCACACCAAAAACATTAAAAAAACTCAAAGAGGAAAAAGAGTTATTTTTTATATAATAATTTATAAGATAAAGTGTAGTATAAACAAGTGAATGTGATTCACACCAAAACATTAAAAAAAAAACTCAAAGAGAAAAACAAAATTACTATATTTTATTTTATATAATAATATAAGATAAAATAGTATAAACAAGTGAATGAGATTTATTATTTGAAAAAACCCTACACTTTTTTTAGTGGTTGATATTGAAAGGTTAAAAAAATACATTTTTATGCCAAAGTAGATAACTTTCATAAAATTACATTATATTTATTACTTTGTGATAAAAGATTTCCTAGACTTTTTTTTTTTGTATTGGTTTGATATAAAGAGAATATTTTATTGACCCAAAAAAAATATGCAAAATAATGGCTAGGGCAAGACACAAAAAATGATATAAAGGCTTGAAAATGCATGTGAGTAGGGTATATTGCCAATTAATCATCTAATGTATATGAGTTGTATAGACCATGATATGCATTTCTCTTTTGATATGAGCTACATATATAAAGTTAAAAAACCCAACATTCTTTTTCATCTAAAATTTGGCAAAAAAATAAAAAAAAGACAAATAGAATTGCCCCACAAAGTGTCACAAATGTTTTTTTTTTGGTAGAATATAATAAATATGGACCATATAGTAACTTTCTAAAAAGAGGGGTGGGGGTGGGGTATTTCTTGTGATTAATGGCAATACATTATCATAATTTTGAAATGACTTTGATGCATTTATTTTCTTAGCAATTCATTACCTCACACACAAATTTTTAAAAAATATTTAAATATAATATACACATTTAAATTATAATTTTTTTTAAAAAAAAGATCAGGTCTAATGAAACTATGAAATATAAAATTTAACGATCCTTATAAAAGATAAATAAAATTTTATTTACTCACAATATATTTAAATTACTTTTAACTTATCAGCTGACAAAACATGTATATCATATTCATATATCTATCTCTTTTCAATTGAAAAAGAGAAATGAAAACAAAGCATTAATAATAGAAATAAATTGAGTGATTAATTAGTCTTGTCATTTGGATAAGCACTTCCATAATATTCTACATTCATCTTCTTTTTTTTTTAATAAATAAATAAATTTAATGATACTTTGCGAAGAATATTGACAACAATTTCTTATAGATGGGCCCCCAATTTGATGTCACAGCAAGGAATGACATTGATTGATGATGGCCCATTAAGCTCAGCCCATTTTAGCCGTTGGGCCTTGGCCCATGTGCTTATTCAAATGTGTTGTCACTTTCCATAACGGTCACATAATAATTAATTTTTTCACTAAAAAAAACGGCTATTTTTAGCTTTCATATCACCAAGGAAAAATAAAAAACGCAACACGTGATGTATGAATTTAAATTCGAACAACATAATATACATAAGCATGATTCTCAAACTTCGCCCTATACGAATAACAAATTGATTATTCGCAGAGTTTTGAATCATTTCTTATAACATCATTTTAAATTTCTTTTTTTAAAAATATTTATTTTAGGGAAAAAGAACAAATATATTCTCGAACTATCGTAAATGAGACATGTAGATATCCTTCGTCATATTTTTGGGACATCGTAAGCTTTGCCGTAAAAAATTGGGCATATATATCATTTATACTAACAAACATAATATTGATTGAATATCGGATAGACCGATAAATTTGCGCCACATGCCCCTACTATTTAATCTTTCATTAGAGTGAATGACATAAACACCAATATCTCAATAATATGACGAAGGATATCTTCATACGATTTATGATAATTCGAAAATATATTTATTATTTTTTCCATAATTTTATATAATAAGCTATGTCTTTTATCATACTTTTAAAATAGAATAGTTTAGTTCTAATCGAAGCAATGTAAAAATTTATATTTACTATGGTCTTTGAGCTATGAAAAGTAAATTATGTGAATATAAAATGCTTTTGTATGTTAATTTATTCCACGTGTAGTAATATTTTCACTCTATTTTATGGCTAATAATTTTTTGAATTTTGCTTAGCTGCCCATATTCTTACAACTATTTCAGAGATTAGGTGAATAATAAGTTGGTCTGGACCAGCTAATCAAATTTAAATTTGTTTTCAAATAATAATAATAATTAACACTGACACTCTGTATAAAGATAAGATTAACAAATAAACCATACAAATAATCTGTCAACATCTTCTCCACCTTTGGCCCTTTCCAGAACACTCTTCTCTTTATCATATTTTAAAAAACTAATTATATTAATCTCGTAGTTTCTCGTTCTTCGATTTACGTTCCTATAATACTATTACTGTTGTAATAAAATTTTGTATTATTTACCGTTTGTTACATTTTATATATCCGTTACTTCTTTATCTGAATTGTTTCAAATAGTATTTTACAAAAATCTTAAAAATTTAATTGACTGCTTAAATTTTTTACTTTATTAACAAAGATTCGGTTCCTATTATAATTTCTAGCTCTTTTTAAATAGAGTTCTATCGAAAATAATCTGTAATTATATTCTTTTATCTTCTATAGACTAAAGTTTAAAATGTTTTTTCTTTTAAATTAAGAGTCTATTATAAATAACTTCTATTTCTTCGAAACAGAATTGAAAATTTACTTTTACTGTATCTTGTATTAAATATCGATTTTATGTGAAAATACATTGAATATAATTATTGTTATTATCCGAAGGAAAAAACAAAAAGAGTAGACCAACACAATAATTAATCGGACCAATTTAATAAGTTTATCCCCACATTTTAGTTTAATTTATTTGTATTATAAAAAAATGATTTCTCCACTATAAAACAACCACAGCCATATCTATTCTCAGTATCAAATTTGGTTCTTGCACTGACCACTCAGCACAAAGAAAGCAAAAAAAAAAAAAAGAAGAAGAAAAAAGCTTCAATCTTTGTGAAAAAATGGCAGAAAACAAGGAAGAAGATGTTAAGCTTGGAGCTAACAAGTTTAGGGAAACTCAACCATTAGGTACAGCAGCTCAAACAGACAAAGATTACAAAGAGCCACCACCAGCTCCATTGTTTGAACCAGGGGAGTTGTCATCATGGTCCTTTTACAGGGCTGGTATTGCAGAGTTCATGGCAACTTTCTTGTTCTTGTATATCACAATCTTGACTGTTATGGGTCTTAAGAGATCTGATAGTTTATGTTCTTCAGTGGGTATTCAAGGGGTTGCTTGGGCTTTTGGTGGTATGATCTTTGCTTTGGTCTACTGTACTGCTGGTATCTCAGGTTGGTTTCATTGCCCCCCTTTTCATTCTTGATGCTAAAGATTGTAACTTTACTTGTTTTACTTAAAGAGTGAGTTTGTGTTCATTTATTGTCTACTGATTGCTTTTGTCAACTGGTTTTGTGGATTGCTGAGTATGTAGAAGGTAAAGATTTGTTTTATTTTTACTGGTTTAGAGGTTTGAAACATGTTAACTGGTTTGTTTTATGTTTCTTGATTTCTTTGAGTTGATTCCCTTCTTTTGCTTAAGATAGTTGAGCTTGTGTTCACTTATTGTGTATATTTGTCGACTAATTTAATGGATTCTTGATCTTGAGTATAGTCAATTAAAGATTCATTTTTCACTGTTTTTAAAGGTCCAAAACATGTTACTGGTTTGATTTCTGTGTCTGAGGTACAAAAATGGAGTTTGGTGAAGCTTATTCCTTTACCTCTATACTGTAAAAATATGACTTCTCTTTATTTTCCTTCGTTCACTAATTTTGTATCTCATACTTTTTACAACTAATTTGATGGATCCTTGAAGATTCAACCTTTCTTTGTCTTGGAGGTTCAAAACATGTAAATGGTTTATTTTCTGAATCTTGTTACTTTACCCTTTTTATATAGCAAGTGTAACACTTTGTGGCTTATTTCTTTGTTTGCTTGCTTTTGATCACCATATTTGAGCTTTTAGTTACTTTATTTGTACCATCATACCTTTTTCAACTAATTAATGGGATCTTGAGTATAATTCACATAAGGGTATAGTTTTTTCCTGTTTTGAAGTTCAAAGCATGTTACATATTTTGTAAAATGAGTCTTTTCCTTCTTTGAATAAGGGTTGGCTTGTTTCTCTGATGCTAAATTCTGTGTTTTGATATCAAACAGGAGGACACATCAACCCAGCTGTGACCTTTGGTCTTTTCTTGGCAAGGAAATTGTCCTTGACCAGGGCTGTTTTCTACATGGTGATGCAGTGCCTTGGTGCAATCTGTGGTGCTGGTGTTGTGAAGGGCTTCATGGTAGGACCATACCAAAGACTTGGTGGTGGTGCTAATGTTGTTAACCCTGGATACACCAAGGGTGATGGCCTTGGTGCTGAAATTATTGGCACCTTTGTCCTTGTTTACACTGTTTTTTCAGCCACTGATGCCAAGAGAAATGCCAGAGACTCACATGTTCCTGTAAGTGTTTTCCTCTTGTAGTTTTATTTCTTCTTTGTGATATCAAGTTTGCTTATCATGGATATTTACATGTTAATTCTAAGCTAGAGTCTAACCAGAAATTTTGGAAGTAGTTTCTGAAAATTTATCAATGATATATGTGACTTTACATTACATAGTTTGACGATAAGTGAAGCGTGACAAGTAAAAATGATCGTAGGGCCAACTTGTTACCCTACATTGTCTGATGAGAAGTGAAAAGTGACAAGTAAAAATGACCGTAGGGCCAACTTGTTACCATACATAGTTTGACGAGAAGTGAAAAGTGATTTTATGACAAGTAAAAGTGAACGGAGGGTATTAAACAACCAACTTGCTATAACATGTTAAATTACTCTAGTAGGGTAAAAGTTCATTGTACTGTTTAATGTATGTAAAAAGTTGAAATCTTGCAAGACAAGTGGGTCTTACTTTTTGGTAAGTTAGGCAAAAATATTGTTCATGCTATAGCATGTGGCATGTCTGGTTTTGTCAGCAAGTCCTTTTAGTTGGTGTAGGGTTATGTTGTGGGCCTAATTGAGTTAGGCTAAAGATAGTGATGTTCATGTGATAAGTTATTGTAACTGTGGACTTTTTCTTGTCATGGAGTGGCTCGCCACGTCACAGTGTTGTGGACCTTTAGGTCATCTCCGATCCATAACACCAACTTTTATACTAAAAACGTGTATCAAATGCGCTACACTGATTGTTCGACATAATATTATATAAAGAATGATTTGGTATATTAGGGAGTTTTCAAAAACGTAGAATTTATACGTTGAGTTAAGTTTCTTTGTATTTTGTGGAGTGGAGATGTAAATGACACCAAATTTCATATTATTGTAGTGTCCGGATAATGGTGTGATACTATTCATCAACGCCTATTTTATATAGAATGATCACATAAGAACATTGTTGGCCAGTCTTAGCTCACCACAACTATCTTTTTGCGCTTATGTCTAAGAGAAATCCTTGGAAGACATTTGTCTGATAATCTTTATGTTTATTGTAGATTTTGGCACCACTTCCTATTGGATTCGCAGTGTTCTTGGTTCATTTGGCCACCATCCCCATCACCGGAACTGGCATCAACCCCGCCAGGAGTCTTGGAGCTGCTATCATCTACAACGACGAGCATGCATGGAATGACCACGTAAGAAAAACATCTTTCATTCTTTTAAACTGACTCGAACACCACAGTTACTTGAACCAAAAAAAGGAGAGCTTAATCTAACAAAGGGGTTCTTGTTTGTTTTTTGTTGTTTTTGAACAGTGGATCTTCTGGGTTGGACCAATGATTGGAGCTGCTCTTGCTGCTATTTACCACCAAATAATTATCAGAGCTATGCCATTCCACAGGTCTTAAGTTATCTGTCTTTAAACAATGGGATTCTCAAAGACTCAACAGTGTACTTTTGTCTTCTTTTTTTGGGGGGTTGAATGTTCAAGTTTCTCCTTCAATGTATTTGTAATGTGGATCTGTTCCTTCTGTTAAGATGTTCTATTATGTGTGTAAATTATCAGGTTATGATAATGTAATGTACCTTATCAATGAAGGTTCTTTATTTTTATCTTTGAACCGCGTCTCAATTTGTTTTTCTAGTTTTGACTTGATACGGAGTTGAGAAACAAACTGATTGTACTTTTAGAGACGGACTAGAAAGAAAAAAAAGACAAACAAATTAAAATGGAGAATTTTCGGTACTCTCTTTCTTTCACCTCCCCCACCCCCTCTAGATGTAGCCATTATTTGTTAGAATAGGTAGGTAGAGGTAGCCATGGCTCACAAAAGATCAATAATTGCTAACCAGTACTACAAAATAGCTCACAAAAGATCAATAATTGCTAACCAGTACTACAAAATAGCTCATGTAATTGCACTTCTAGGGTGAAGAGTAGCTACTGAAAATTATGTGTTACATCAATTAGTGTGCAAGGGACTATAATGGCCCTGTGATGATATCATCTATGTTCATATTGCCTTTTTTTTAAAAAAAAATAGATATAAAGCGAATTATTACATATAAATTTCTTTCGTTAACTAGGTAAATTTACGATAACATGAACGCATAAAATCCAAGTGTATGAAAGATGGTGTAGTTATTGTTATGATGCACTCAAGATTTAGAATTTACTCTCTTAATTAATTCGAATCGCATCGAGTAAGTCTATTGAGAAGTCTACTCACATATTTTTTATTCTTAAAATATGAATTACAAATTTTTAGTTAAGAACAAAGAAATATCATTATTAATTTATAGCATTTGAAGTAATTTAGATCAGCAAAAATAATAAAAAATATAAATAAATTACCATCATAAAATTTTCATCTGCTCAATTAATTCGATCGGTGGCTAATATTATTAACGTTTCTTTTAACGTGTATTCCATTGTAGAAAGAACTAAAAATTTAGTGGATTATTACGTTGGCTTTTTTTTTTTTCTTTAAGTGTAAAATATTACTCATTGGTTTTATCACATCCAAAAAAATAAAATAAAATTGTCTCTACTCTTTACATAAAACCTAATATAAAACTCTTCAAATTGTTGGGAAAAAAAACTATCACACTGTTGTTTTTTGATCTACAAATTAATTATGTGGTTATTTGGATTAAAAGGTGCCTCTGGTTTCTCTGCTTCATCTACAGCTGAAGAAGTTACTCAAGGAATTGATGCTAATGGACTCACTGCCATTGTTACAGGTATAAACTCTTTTTTTTTTTTAAATTATGTTTAGTAACCCTTTCTCCCAATTTTTTCACTGAGTTGTTTGTAATTTTTTGGGGTGGGGGTTATTTATTCCTGTTTATAATTAATTATAGATATTATGGACAAAATGTTTTTGACCAAAATACACTAAAAATATGAGTTTTTGGGAAGTTTCATACTATTAATTATTAGTCGTTAGTACTTTTTTCTAGCTGATATATCATAATTCATAGTGTAAGTATTAAAAAATACATCTAGTTGAATAGATGGCGATAGTTCAGGTAGGAAAAGCGAACAATTGATATTTGGCCTTTAGTGTGTTTAATTGATAGAATTGGGAATGTGAAACTTGTGAAAAAGTGATGAAATGTTTTTACTTGAAATTCTCATGTACATGTTGATTAAATTACCAGGAGCATCTAGTGGTATTGGTGCAGAAACAACGCGTGTTCTTGCAATGCGAGGTGCGCATGTAGTAATGGCAGTTCGTAATGTTAAAAGTGGCGAAGAAGTTAAGGATAGTATTCTTAAAGAGATTCCTCATGCCAAAATTGATGTAATGGAGATGGATCTCGGTTCTATGGAATCCGTTAGGAAGTTTGCATCGGAATATAACTCTACTGGTTATCCTCTGAACATTCTAATGTAAGAAAACATTTCCTTTCAACTGTTTCATGAGTTCAATACAGAGTCGTAATTAGATTTTTGCATTCATCTTTGGTTCATTGGTATTGCTCGGAACAAATGTCCTGTTTACTCTGCCCTCCGCGTCAATGTGTGAATATTAAGATACTAAATGAATTTTTTTATTTTTTGAAGCAACAATGCAGGGGTTATGGCTCCACCGTTCATGCTTTCTCAAGACAATATTGAATTACAGTTTGCTACTAATCATTTAGGTAAACGAGGTTATTTTTTGTGTTTGTTTAAGATATCGTAGTTATGGGGGAGTGTTCACATCCTTCATCAAGAATTTTCACCACACTTGGCCATTCTTTGACATTGTAGAATACGAGGACTCACCTCTCTTGGAATTTGGCATTTTATAACTTTGTTTTGCTATTACTCTATGAAAACGGTATAATGTTACAGAGGTATATTTGCTTGTAGAAGATCTTTACATCAATCTTTACCTGTTTCTGTTTTAGAGTCCACTTGTTTTCTGTCCTTTATCTTGAAAAAATGTGTTTTTCCTCTTATTTGCTGTAACTTGTCCATTGGTTTTCAAGAAGCCATAAGCTGGACTTGCAAACTGTGTGATCTAGATGTTATGTTGTAATCTAAGATGCTTGGAGTCTCCAAAAATGCTGCTGCACCTGTGCCGTATACTCCAAAAATATACAACTTTTGGAAGATCCGGCTCATAGCAGTCAGGATTTATGAAGATTCCGAGCACCATAGGTTGAAATAGATGGTTGTATCTTAAATCCTCATTTGATGTCAAAACTGAAGTGCAACTACAAGTACCAAGTCAGCTAAGTCTGATCTCGACAGTTGTCTGTGTTTTCCTCTATTGAGATTGTTCTGCTCTAATAGGATGGTTTTAGATTAAAGTATTACTTGCTTTCACCAATATAAGAAGACTAGTAATGTTTTTGCAGGTCATTTTCTTTTGACAAATCTTTTGCTACAGAACCTGAAAAATACAGCTCAAGCGAGCCATAAAGAAGGAAGGATTGTTAACGTTTCATCATTGGGACATCGATTTACATATCGTGAAGGGATCCGTTTTGACAAAATCAATGACAAAGATAGGTATTTCATGGGTGCCATCTTCATATACTTACTCATCTTCAATGTATATCTCAGTTGTTATATTTACACATTATTTTCAGGATCTGGCAGTAGGTTCTTTCTTTGCATAAGAGGTTTGACAGTACTGTTTATTTGTGTATTTCCAGTTACACTGCAATACTTGCTTATGGACAGTCAAAGCTTGCTAATATCTTACACGCTAACGAACTTGCAAGGCATTTCAAGGTACACTATTATCTTCTGAGTATTGAAACTTCTCTTAATCATTTAAATCTTATGTCCCTGACCAATGTTCTTCTCATCTAGTGACAATTTCGAAGTTGAATTACTGTTTAATTTACGAGGAATGTACGTCTCTACAGTATACTTTCCACCGTTGTACACAAGTTTGTTTTTTCAGATCATCATCTCGGTAATGAAGTGTAGGAACTAAAGGAATTCACTTCAAAGAAGCGTTGCATCTTTGAAACTACCTAAGCATAAGATCTAACAATGCTTGTCTCACCTTTCACAGGAAGAAGGAGCGGAGATAACTGCTAATTCACTTCACCCGGGATCAATTACTACCAATCTTCTCCGTCACCAAAGTTTGGTTGAAGGTAAAAATTTAAAATCTTCCACCAGAGTGGTTCTTATTGTTGTAATGACATCTCATGAAATTTGTTTCCTTCAATGAGCTTTAAGTTTTTTATCCGAAGATTAGATTTCCTTGAACTACCCTTTATAGGTATATGAAATGAACAAGAAATGAACGTTCTTTCACGAACGTTCATTGTATTGATTGATGAAGGATTTAGTACGTTAAAAACTTCGTTTTGGATATTAAAATCCTTCTAGGGTGCCATACACTATAACCGCGAGTAGTTACACCATACAGGGCATATACAAAGTTTAGAGCCTCAACATGATATGTGTTCTTTGAAGTCCTGTGATCTTGGCAAATTTCATGTTTGTTAATTTTTTATATTTTGGACCTTTTGCAGGCTTAGTTAACTGGATTGGCAAATACTTCATTAAAAACATTCCACAGGTGAGTAGCTTTGGTACAAATATAAGATCGATAAATGTTAGTTTCCTCATGTATGTTTCTGTGTTGATTCCAGGGAGCAGCAACTACATGCTATGTAGCTTTGCATCCTCAGGTGAAGGGAATAACCGGTGAATACTTCTCGGACAGCAATATATCTGCATCAACTTCTCAGGGTACAGATGCAGAATTGGCAAAGAAACTCTGGGATTTCAGCTTGAATTTGACAAAACCTCAGTAAAAACAATGTCAATTGATGTTTTATCTCAGTATGTGATCATCGCGTAAACTCTTTTTTCTTTCCAAATACTTTCCTTGTAATGCACATCTCGACTGGTTTTTGGCTGGACAAATCTTGCTGGCTTGAAAACTTGAATTTCAATGATAATGGTGACATGTATTGTTGGTAATAAGCCTCATCAATATACTTGTATATGTCTGCACTTATCTTAGCTTCAAATTTGATTCCATCATGATCTTGTGGAATTATATATTGAATAATTGATGATACATTTTGTACCATGCTTAAAAGCCAGAAGGGATTCCATTTTTCATTGATCAAATGATCTATCCCCTTGTTTGAACATCTGGTATGGCTGAGTTCTAACAAACTATTTACGCAACTTCATAAAACGAAAGGGATGTAAATAGCCAGCATTAGTCAGTCATACATGCTTCTCCAACTTACACAGAATAAAAGTTTGGAACTCACATTCAACTTCAAAGTTTGGAACATGGTTGAAGATTTTGGATTAAAGCTGGTTTTCAAGGATCCATAATACAAGATAGATACAAAAGGCTCAAAACAGTATATGAGAGAGCTTTACAATGAACAGTTACCAAAGAAACAATATCTCAACCAAGCCTGAGATTCCCCCTCTAATCTTTGAACCTGTCAGTCCTATGAAGTCCAGGCTTGTACAGCTGTGTGACCATTTTCTCGTCTCTCCTAGTATTTCAACTCGAAGAAGAAAAGATCTTATATGCAATGAGGATCCCAAAAGAAAAGAGGATTCATAGCACTGCTGTACGAGGCTCCTAGCATGGTGATTGCTGGAGAACTAAAATAAAGTACTAGTCAAAAATAT